AGAATGTGAAAGAAATGAAGAAGCACAACTATTATCTTTTTTGTTGTTGTTGTTGTTTTTAAGGTTATAATCAGTTGTAAAAGCAAGAGGACCTAGAATTCACTTCTTCCTTTAGAAGAACAGAAATTCAGAACTTACTCAACACACCCTCTTGGGAACAAACAGGAAAGGTGAGAGTCATGTCCGTGCTCCGTTCTTCGGCAGAGATTCTACTTTCAGTCAGTTGTGAAGCATGTCCTGAACATGGAGTCTGTTTTTCAGTTTTTCAATTGTTTCTTTTGTGACCCATGAGGTATGCTATGACAAAAGTATTATCAATGTGTTCTTTACATGAGGAAATAGTACTGTTCTCATCCTTCTTCCTTGCCATCTCTGGGGCTCAGCTTCTTAGCCTCTGGAAAGCAATGTTTACTTTATACTTTGCTAATACTGTGTTCCCTCTAGAGGGAAGTCCTTTAAGGCAAGAGGCCAAATGTGGGAAATCTTTGTGAAAGTCAGAGTGGACTTCCTAGGAGTAGAGAAACCTAAGGAACAATAGGAAAAGGCCTATGGTAGCTTTCTCTGTTTAGGACTACTGGTATTTCTGTGGTCAGCTTCCCCTTGTGATGCTGCTACTCCTTGTTCTATACCTGCGTGTTCTATACCTGTGTGTGTGTGTGTGTGTGCGTACCTACATCTATGTATAATACACATATAAATGGAATATAAAAGTTTACTGAAGACTAGACTAGAGCCTATAGTGAGAAATTGAAGAAATTAAAGGTTATAGGTCAGCACACAGGCTTCTTAGAAGACAGCTACAGAATACTTCACGAATGGTTTGATCTCATAGGTAGAGCTCTCTCTGACTCAGATTTTTTGCACATCAAGTGTAACCTAGTTTCTGAAAGTTGAAAAAGACCAAGCACCATAGACTGAAGGGGGCTTTGCTTAGAACTACATTGCAGGGTAATCACTCAATAAGCATTTACTAAATACTTAATAGGTGCTAAGTACTGAGGAGACAAAACTCCCCTTTGGACTAAAACGGGCCCCAGAGTTAGTTCTACCCCCCACCCACTCTTAGGGTAAGAACACTCTGGGATCAGGAAAAGCTTTCTCTAAGAGGCAGCACATGAAGCTAGAGATTCTAGGAGGCGGAGGTAAAGAAACAGAGATCACCACCTACACAAAGGCAAAAGGGGGAGGGGGTAGAACGCCAAGTTGGAGAATCTAAAAGAATGACACTTTAGCTGAAAAGTGCAGCGTGTAAAGGAGAAGCTCATAAGAAATAAGCCTGAAGAGGCAGGCCAGAATGTCTAACTGAAGAGTTTTTACTTTATTCTAGAGACTAGCAAGGACCAGAGGTTCTTTTGTTTTGTTGTTTTGAAGCAGTTGGGGTTAAGGGACTTGCCCAGGGTCACACAGCTGGTATCTGAGGCTAGATTTGAACTCAAGAACTCCTAACTCCAGGACCTAGCTGCCCCACCCACATGGCCAGCCTTATGTTTTAGGATTACTATGGCTACAGTGTGGAAGCTGCATTGGAAGAAGCAAAAACTGAAAGTGGAAAGACCAACTAGGAGGTTGTTAGAAGACTTCAGAGGACTCTTAGGGAGGTCAATATGGATGAAGACTTGAGAAAAGGCTAGCACACTTAGCAGTTAAAAGATTGTTGGTATTTATACTCTTTAACTCAGATTCTATTGCTAGGCATATACCCCAGGGATGTCAAAGTGAAAGAAAGGCCCTGATGTGGTTTGAGGGGTTCAGGGACCCCTCAAGCATTGAAGTATAGGACAGGGTCGTCTGGAATGAATTCACGGACTCAAGCAATCTTTAAGTCAAGGTGACAAAGGTTTATTGATACGCTATCCAGCAGGCAAAAGTTCTTAAGGAACCTGACCTTAGAGGGGTACAATTCAAGTTTATATAGGAAAAACTACAGTAAAACATGCGCCAAGTATGCTAATTAGGTGATTCAGGGTAAAGTTAGGGAAGTGGTTAAGGAGTTGTCAATTCTTAAAGGAACATGCACTTTTTGTGTCGACTGAGAAGGCAGTTTACCCAGAGTTCACCAAGAAAAGTGAACAGTGGAGGGGGAGGGGCCCACAGGGAAGTGCAGGTTTTTTAGGCTGGCTACATCACTAAGTTAACTAGAGATCAGGGCCTACTAAGGATTTTCCAGTCTGCCACTAATCAATGTCTTGTTTGACAAGATAGTGTCATATGTGCAAGGAGTGTATATATGTCTTCAGTCTAGGATACACATAATGAGGAGTCCAGGATGCATATAATGAGATAAGGAGTTGGTATAGATGGTTCAGAGGGTACTGAATATCTCTATGAGCCAGTACAAAGCCAGTTCAAACTACTAATTCCTACAGGTACAGTTTGTTACTGTACCAGGGAGAGAGATAAATGTTTTGCTGGGGCCCACTCATAAGTAATTGCTAGGCATGGTGTCCTTGAGCTGGGGAGAAACTGCCAGGGTTAGTGTTTTTGAGCACAAGCACCCAATCAGTCCCATATACACCAAGTTATTCAGAGCAGCACTTTTTGCGGTAGCAGAGAATTGGAAACAGAGTAGGATGTTATCAGTTGAGGAACAAAGTGTGATACATGACAATAAAAGATATCACTCCATAAGAAATGATGAATATGAAGAATTCAAAGAAGCAGGATAAGAACTGAGAGGCATGGTGGATAAAGAGCAGGCCTCAGAGCAGGGAGACTCAAATCCTACCTCTAGCCCACAATGGCTTTGTGATCCAAACAAATCACTTAAAATTCTCAATGCTTTAGGCACTGAGACTCTAAACTGTAAGTCAGAAAGAAAGTTTCCTTGTGGGGAGTTTCCTACACCAATGAAATCACAGGTGTAATCCCTAGTCCCTACAGGAAGACTTATATGAACTGATACAGGAAATAACCGATACAACCACTACAATAATGTAAAAAGAACAAAAAGCCCACAACTGAACACTCGGTACGTACAATGACCAAGAAAACTGGCCACTGAAAAGAGCTGGGAAAAAAAAATGTGGGCCTCCCCAACATATTTACAAATTAAAGTGATGTAAAAATGAAAGGTTAACAATTAAAAACTTTTTAAAAAATTCAAAGCCGTAATTTTCTATTTTTTCACAAAGATGTTTCATCAGATTTAAAATTTCATTTCTGCTGGTTTGAACATGGAAAAAATAGACATATAGCTTATAACAACTGACTGATGGGCCCAAAGCAAATTAATAAGAAGAGGACCACCACTGATCAAAGGAGCAAGCCCTTTTCTTCTAAAAGGCCTTAAACTCATCCCAAGACCAATACACTTTTCTGGGAGTTAGAATTTCTTGGTAAATAATTGTCTAGTTAAAAAAAAGAAAGTAAGTGTAAGGTAAAGAGATAAAAGGTCAAAACAGAAAATTTTACAAGATTGGAAACTGCTAACATGCTCAAAGGTGGTAAAACATAAGAGGCAGTAGAAGTGAACACAAGTCATCCAATTCCATTCAAAAAAAGATGGGGTTCTGATTAAAGTCTTTTGGCAGCACTTTACAAGAAATTCTCAATTTTGTTTTTAATAGATTCAAATCTACAACAGAAAAAACACTTTAAAATGTGCCCCTTTCTCACAAGTAAATTAAATGGGGCATTTAAATAAAAAATTGGAAAAGAAATGAGAACTATGGAAGAAAGAATTGGGAAGTGAATTAATAGTTTGGCACAATTAGAATGAAACAGAAGTTAATAACTCCACGAGACAGGAAATAATAAAAGACCAAAAAACATATAAAAAAATAAAAAAGACTAAAAAGAAAAAATAGAAGAAAATGTAAGTTATCTCACAGCAAAAACAAATGACCTGGTAAACAGATAGAGGAAAATAGAATCTAAGAATCACTGGGCTACCTAAAAGCCATAACCAAAAAAAAAAAAAGAGCCTAGATAGCATATTTGAAGAAATCATGAAAGAAAACTACTTAGATCTCTTAGAAACAGATGGTAAGGTGGAAACAGAATCTAAAGTCACATTCTGAAACTCCAAAATGAAAATATCCAGGAATATTGCAGCCAAAATCCAGAGCTTCCAGATTAAAGAAAAAAAATATATTACAAGTAGAGTCAAGAGAAACATAAAAACTTTGTGCATTTGCATCACAGCATTGGGAACTGAGGGGGTTGCCCATCAACTGGGGAACAGCTGAACAAATTATGGCATATAAATGTGAAGGAATACTATTCTGCTATAAGAAATGTCGAACGGTGATGGTTTGAGAAACTTGGTAAGACTTGCACAAAGTAAGCAAAACAAGAACAATTTATACAGTAACATTTTATACAATGCAAGGATAAACAACTTTGAAAGACTCAGCAACACAAACCAGTAATGATCAAGCATGATTCCAGAGGATTCAGGATCAAACATGCTACCTACCTCCTAACCAAGATGTAAAGGACTCAGTGCAGCATGAGACTTTTTTTTTGAGGGGGGGGGTGGCCGAGGCCAATGTGAGAATGTGTTTTGCTTAAGTAGACAGGTTTATAACAGAAGTTAGGTTTTCCTTTCTCAGTGAGGTTGAGGAAGAGATTAAAAGGGAGAGAAAGTAGATTTTGGCCAATTGAAAAAATACAATTTAATTTAAAAAATAAGCCTGACAAATTAACTTGCATTGGAAAAATTTTAGTTGCAAATAAATCTACATTTATATGTATATCTACATTTACTAATTTATAGCCTAAATTAAAAAGGTGGTGTGGGACAGGGCAAAAAAGAATTAGGAGATTAGGTTGGAGGGCTGGATTTTAGTCACAAGGTCCTTTCCATGAAATTGGTGCACTGTCTTGCTAACAATTAATCTTTTCTTTGAATGTCTGCCATCTTCCTTACACTAAATTAGGTATGATGAAAAAAAATCGGAAGACAGATAAGTAATACCTTTTAAAAGGTTGCCTAAAAGGAAAGTAAAGAAAAAGGAACAGAGAAGTAATTGTTAGAACAAAGTTCATGAAGGCATTACCGAGATTTTGATTCACATCCACTAGAATTTGGTGGCTACTAAACGGTCTGGACGTTGCTGGGAATCCTATGGAACTTGGCATTTTTTCCAGTCTGTGTTGACTAGCACAGAGAAGAAAGGTTCCTGTAAATACAGAAGCATATTTTTGCCATTACCTTTTCTGCAGGGTTCTCCTTGGAGTTTGCTATCCGCCTAGCGAAGGCCAGGATACTCCTTCCCTGAAGGCACTTGTAAATAAATGTAGACACTACATCTTTCTTAAGTGGCTAAACTAAGCCCCAGGCGCGTGGCCTTTGAAGGCGACTGACATTTCTATTACTTCCTCAAATGTCCAGGGCATTTAAGGGGAAAAAATGACAACCATTTACTGGTTGGACAAAATTCCATTTCGTTTTATCTTATGCCTGACACTGGCTCCTAGGACTTCTGGTGGGGAAGGAGATCACTAGATATCTATGCGGGGAGAGATCAGATAGGGGAGGGCACTGGGCAGGGGCTGAAGGGCAGGACTGCAAGGACAAGGCCTTGTAAGCGGAGCAGCCCCGGACAATGTGTCCGGGCAACATTAACCAGACCCTACGCCCATCCCCGCCGCCTGCCCCCAGCATCAGCGACTGGCAGGCTGGCGGCGGGGCGCGGGGCCGCAGGCCGGCCCAACACGACGGGCTGGCCCAGCTGGGCTCCCCGCCGCGGTCCGGTCCGGTCCCGTCCGTTCGGGCCTGCTGCCCGCGGCTGACCCAGTCACCCCTCCCGGCTCCGCGAGGCCCCCAGCTAGAGGTCGGCGGCGGGCAGAGTCTGACCTGAGCGAAGGAGCCCCGCGCCCGGGCCGCCGAGCCCCCGCTTCAGCACCGACACCGCCCTCAGCGCCATCTTTGGTCAGACTGGGGATCGGAGCCCTGGTCCCAGGGGTGAAGAGCAGGATTTGGGGCGGGGCCGGCCCCGGCCGGGACGCCCCACCCCGCCTCCAGGCACCCCTTACCTAACGGCCGGGGGGAGGAGGGGGAGTAGAGGTTCACAGTGTTGTACAGGAGGCAGCAACAAAAAGCATTCCAAAGAAAAAGAAGAGCAAGAAGGCAAAATGGCTGTCAGATAAGGCTTTACAGATAGCTGAGGAAAGAAGAAAAGGGAAAGAAATATCCAATTGAATGCACAATCCCAGAGAATAGCAAGGAGAGAGAAGGTTTTCTTAAATGATCAATGCAAAGAAAAAGAAGAAAACAAAAGAATGGGAAAGACATCTCTTCAAGAAAATTAGAGATATTGTAAGAGGCATAGTTTCTGGGTAATTTAATCATTTTATTAATAAGGCCAGGAGATTATTAATAAAAGGATTGTGTGGGACAATGGCCACACTAGAATTAAAAGTTCGGAGGCTGAGTCAGAGATCAGAAAAGGTTTTATTCTTCCTCGTGAAAAAGGGCACAGCCCCGCCACTCAAGCTCAAGTAGCGACAGCCAGGGAGTGCAGTCTGTTAGTGGGGAACAAAGTTTTATGGTCCTAACGCGATACCCCCTCCCCATTCCTGAACCCTTCTTCCCATTGGTGGGGTTCAGGGTGAACAATCTAAACGAGGCTGTATACAATAATATCCTTATTTGGAAATATTTGCCTGGAGACAAAGGCTCAGGAAGACTTTTGATAATCTACTTAGAAGTTCTGCCCAGAGACCAAGGATGAATAAGTTCCACCTAGAGACAGATAAGCAGGAAGCCCCTGGTGGTTAAACTAGCAGTCTTTCTCAATTTTTACCTTCCTAGAGGAATTGGAGCACAGGTTAGCTCTTGTTTAATGCACAGCAAATGTTTGCACAGCCATCAAGTTTTACCGCTTTGGGGGTACAAAGGGAATTTATGAGTTTTAGTACTGAGGAAACTTCATCTGTCTCACTCAGGGTGGTCATTTGGCAGTTTCTCTTAGACCAAAGACAATCATGGTGCTGGTCTCACCTTCCAGTGAGGGGCTGATGTCACCTCACCATCATATCAGTCTGGGACAGAGAAAATATCTCTATACCAGGTCACTCCTAGCTTTGGACTATCTAGACTAAAGGATCTGTCTTTACCCAAACTAGAGCAGAACACAATGGGCTTCCCCACCTTAGATTAAATTTCTTGTAAGGTTGGATGGAGTCTGAACATGACTGAAGAGAGTTAATGCAATCTCATTACCAGTAATACCCTGTAAGAAACGGAACCTGGATTCAGGAGGACCTGAGTTCAAATCCGGCCTCAGACACATAACACTCACTAGCTATGTGATCCTGGGCAAGTCACTTAACTCCCCACTGACCAACAAAAACAAAGAAAACAACTTTTTTAAAAATGAGGAATTTAGAAAAAGGGCAATATCAAGGGAAAGTTTCTTGCAAAAATGAGCCTGATACATCACGCCTATCAGATTGGCTAACATGACAAAACAGGAAAATGATAAATGTTGGAGAGGATGTGGGAAAATTGGAACACTAATACATTGTTGGTGGAGTTGTGAAATGATCCAACCATTTGGAGAACCATTTGGAACTATGCCCAAAGGGCTACAAAAATGTGCATACCCTTTCATCCAGCAATAGCACTTTTAGGGCTATATCCCAAAGAGATCAAACAAATGGGAAAAGGACCCACATGTACAAAAATATTCATAGCAGCTCTTTCTGTGGTGGCAAAGAATTGGAAATTGAGAGGATGCCCATCAGCTGGGGAATGGCTGAGCAAGTTGTGGTATGTGAATGTAATGGAATACTGTTGTGCTATAAGAAATGATGAACAGGCTGACTTCAGAAAAACCTGGAAAGACCTATATGGTCTGATGCTGAGTGAAGTGAGCAGAACCAAGAGGACTTTGTACACAATAACAGCCATGTTATGCAATGACTAACATTGTTAAACTGAACCCTTCTCAGCATTACAAGGGTCTAAGACATCTCCAGAGGCCTCGGGATGGAAAATGCTATCCACATCCAAAGGAAGAACTATGGAAGTTGAATCGCTATCACTTATTATTACCTTCTGTTGAGTTTTGTGTCATCTTTCTGACGGTTCCTCCTATTGGTTTTAATTTTTACTTACAACTTCACTAATGTGAAAATATGTTTAATAGGAATGTAAATATATAGCCTATATCAGATTGTGCGCTGTCTTGGGGAGGGTGGGGGGGAGGAAGGGGGAGAAAAATTTTCAACTCAAAAGCATATGAAAGTGATTGTTGATAAATCAATAAATTAATAAAATTGGAAAAAAATGAACATGATAAAAGATAAAAATAGTAGGGATCTAATAGAAACAGAAGAAATTAAAAAGACATGGCAAGAACATACAAAAGAATTGTACAAGAAAGATCTTAACAAGATTGTGTGGATACTGATCTTGAGCCAGAGATCCTGGAGAATGATGCCAAATGGGCCTTAGGAAGCATTGCTAACACTAAGGTTAGTGGAGGTGATGGAATTTCAGTTAAGCTATTTAAATTCTAAAAGATGATGCTGCGCTGAATATGACCAACAACTCAAGCACCTCTGCCTCCCTTAAATCCAATCCATGCACACATCAAGACATAACTTTTGTGCCTATGTACCTCAAGTGACGTGAATCTAAGACTGGGGAGCCTGTTCCCATCACAGAGCTCTGGTTCTGTGCCCTAGGGGAGGTGGTCATGACCCCCAAAGACTTGACTCCAGAACTGTATTGTGGGATTTGTGGGTTTCTCCTGGGAAACCACTAAATTCTGAGCAGATTTCCCGATTTGCAAATCCATTCCTTATAATGAAACTAATTAAATGGCTACTTGATTACTAGCACTTTGTCTCTGGCCTGCTGTTTCATCATTCTCAGGTTAGAGACTGGCTCAGTAAAAATCCTGTTAACAAGGACAAACAATAGCACCCAATGTGCCAGCACATTTGGAAAAAACAACTCTGGACGCTGGATTGGGAAAGATCAGTTAACCCTACAGAAGGGCAATGTCAAGGCATGTTCAAATTACTGAATAATTGCATTAATTTCACATGCCAGTGAGGTTACACTTCAGATTTTGCAAGCTAGGCTTGAGTAATATGTGGATTGAGAATTATCAGAAGAGTAGGCTGGTTTTCAAAGAGGCAAAGGAACTAGAGACTAAATTGTCAACGTATGGTAATCATGGAGAAAGCAAGAGAGTTCCAGAAAAAAAAACCATCTATTTCTGCTTCGTTGACTACACTAAAGCCTTTGACTATGTAGATCCCAATAAAATGTGGTAAGTCTTCAAAGAGATGGGAATATCAGGTCATCTTACTTGTCTTTTGAGGAAACTGTATGCTAGCCTAGAAGCAACAGAACTGACCATGGAACAACAGATTGGTTTAAGATTAGAAAATGAGTATGACAAGGCTGTATGTTGTCACCCTGTTTATTTAACTTATATGCAGAGGACATCATGCAAAATACCAGGCTGGATGAATCAAAAGCTGGAATTAAGGTTGCTGGGAGAAATATCAACAGTCTCCGATATGCAGATGATAATCACTCTGATGGCAGAAAGTGAAGGGGAAATAAGAAGCCTCAGGGGCAGCTAGGTGGCACAGTGGATAGAGCCCTAGCCCTGGAGTCAGGAGGACCTGAATTCAAATCCGGCCTCAGACACATAACACTCATTAGCTATGTGGCTCAGGGCAAGTCACTTAACCCCAATTGCCTCGCAAAAGAAGAAGAAGAAGAAGCCTCTTCATGAGAGTGAAAGAAGAGAATTGTTCGAAGCTTAACATCCCCAAAACTAATATTTTGGCAATTGGTCCCATCACTTCCTGGCAAATAGAGGGAGAAGAAATGGAAGCAGTCAGATTTTATACAAAGATCGCTGACACAGTTACTGTAACCATGAAATTAAAAGACTCTTCTTAGAAGAAAAGCTATGACAAATCTGGACAGTATACTAAAAAGCAGAGATGTCACCTTGCAGGCAAAGGTGTGCATAATCAAAGGTATGGTTTTTCCAGTAGTAATGTGTGGCTGTGAGTGTTGGGCAGTAGGGAAAGCTGAGCACTGCAGAAACAACACCTTTGAACTGTGGTGCTGGAGAAGACTTTTGAGAGTTCCTTGGAGAGCACGGAGGTGAAATCAGTCAATATGTAAATAATTTAATTCTGGATATTCACCAGAAGGTCAAATACTGAAGCTGAAGCTTAAATACTTTGGCAGCATAATGAGAAGGGACTCATTGGAAAAGACCCTGATATTAGGAAAGATTGAAGGCAAAAGGAAAAGGGAACAGCAAGAGGGTGAGATTGATAGATGGTGTCATGGAAACAATGAACATGAATCTGGACAGATTTTGAGAGATAGTGGAGATTAGAAGTGTGTGCTACAGCTACCCAAAAATAACACTCAGAGATTTTCTAGGTATAAAGTGAAAAATTTATTACATTCTCGCGAGAAGCGGGTGTTTGCTTCGTCTGCCAGTCTGAGCTAACGAGGCAAGGCACAAAGGCCAGGACAAAGGTTATATAGCCTTAACACAGAGATACCCACCCACCACTGGCTTTGAATTCCCATTGGACAGGAATTTCAGCCTTACAATCTAAAACGTGAAAATCTACCCCAGAAACAAGGAATCTCATTATAATACTACCAATCCTAGCTATTTTATCCTTTTCGGTAATTAGCCATTACCTAATGCTGATGTGACTAGGAACCTGAAACTTAGGCCTATTCAGGCTAGTGTAACCAATCTTGAGTTTGTAAGAGTCTAAGAAATTGCTACATTCAGTTCCATCTCAGAGATCTCACAAAAACCAGAGTCTTGACAAAAGTTTGCAAAAGGAGACATCTCTTCACTGACTTTCTCGAGAAAGTGCACCCCCGTGCTGCCTCAGCTGCCCCGGGAGTTTGAGTGCTCTTTGTTCAAGGCAAGACTACATAGACCCCAACATAGCA